GTGTTGTTGTCGGGTTAAAGTATGCGGGTGGGCACTTGTTCCTTGAAGTTTATTGCTTACTTTGATCTTGTTATCCATGCTTAGACTAGTTACTTACTAAATTGATCGTTCTTATCGTGTTTACGGGATTTTGTGATAATTGAGTATTGATTCCAAAGTTGGGATTGGTATTGTGGAACCATTGTTGAGGTAAGGCTTGTTCTTGTTGATTCTATCCCCTTGTTATTACTTGTTCATTGTTATGTGGTAAATGAAAGTGTTAATGCACGAAGGGTGATGCCGTGCCATATTATGAGTGTTAATGCATGAAGGGTGATGTCGTGCCATATTGTGAGTGTTAATGCACGAAGGGTGATGTCGTGCCATATTGTAAGTGTTAATGCACGAAGGGTGATACCGTGTCATGTTATGAGAGTTAATGCACGAAGGGTGATGTCGTGCCGTATCTATTGATTTATATTGTGAGGTTGAGTGAAAGCACGAAAGGTGATGCCGTGCAAATTTTCTTCATTGTGTTTAGTTGTTTTCATTGGTTAAAAGCATGTTGACTGTTCTGGTTATTATTTCCGTTGTATCTCTTATATCTTGTGCCCCTTTAGCATGTCCCCCTCCCTATAGTACACGTTTAACTGTTATTGTTATTTTCTTGTACATATATTGTTATTTGCATAGGTTTATTATGTGGGTGTCTTGTCATAGCCTCGCCACTACTTCGTCGAGGTTAGGCTCGACACTTATGAGTACATGGGGTCGGTTGTACTCATACTACACTCTACACTTCTTATGCAGATTTTAGTACCGGTCCTAGCTGATCGTGAGGTTTAGCAGCTTGGACTTGCTTATTGGAGACTCAAGGTAGATTTGCTGGTATCCGCAGACCTTGGAGTCCCCCTTTGTCTCCCCTATTTTACTATTTTTTTTTATTCAGGACAGTTGTATTTCTTTCAGACTCTGTTTGTAAAAAATCTTAGAAGTTCGTGAGTTGTGACTCCGGATTCGAATTGTATAAGATGGGCTTTATGTTATTCCGCATTTCAATTTTAGCTTCTATTTAGCTTGATTGATTCTGTTATGAAACTGACTAAAGTTGGCTTAAAGAATTCTCTAACATTGACTTGCCTAGCAATTGAAATGTTAGGCACCATCACGGTCCCGAAGGTGAAAATTTCGGGTCGTGACACTGCATCTGTTAATGTTGAGGACCAGGACCACGTTTCAAATTCATCTAATGGTGAGGGATTACATAGAAGTGCAGCTGGGGTGGATTGGACACTGGTGGTAAGGTCACCTACCAGGCAGAATACAACTCCAAACCCAAGGAACAACAGCAGAAATCTGCAACCTATAGCAAATGGTTTGTCACTAGTAATAAGTAGAACAACCTCCCACAAATTTCCATACTCTGCAACCTATAGCAAATATGTTTACATGCGTGCAGGTGCATGGTTTGGCAGTTTTAGAAGACTACATTTGTTTGGTAGTGGTACAGTGGCAAAATCCAGATATTAAAGCAACAGATGTTGTAGGCAAGACTTCGATTTTGAAAGGATCAGTACTACATGATAGACCTGTTACTGCATCTGTTGAACCAGCTGAAAAATTAGTTATGGTGGAGAAGCACGAACAGGAGTTACAAGTGGAAAATCCCAAGTGCAATGAGCAGACTGCTAAGCTAGGCACGAACACTTCTCATATTGTAGCTACATGTGATGGTGAGATAAATTTAGGTGAGGTTATTGCTACAACAGCTGGGCAAAATTCTAAGGATCAGGGCCAGTATACTAAGAAGGTAAAAACAACTACTGTAATAGGTACACCAAATGCAGCTGCTACTGTTGAAGCTGGTGCACAAACAACTTGTTTGGAAGCTGCATCTGTTAATGTTAAGGACCAGGACCACGTTTCAAATTCATCTAATGGTGGGGACTACATAGAAGTGCAGCTGGGGTGGATTGGACACTGGTGGTAAGGTCACCTACCAGGCAGAATACAACTCCAAACCTGAGGAAACAACAGCAGAAACTCCTAGGCAGGCTGTAATAAAAATGTTCAACACATGCTAGTGTGTCTTGTACTTTTAAAAATTATCATAACCTTTGTGACATCAACAACAGTGAGAAAAGAAAATATATAAAAGCAAGAAGCGTCCAAGGTAAGCCCAAATACAACAAAAAGCTAATAAAAATCGAAGGAGGAAAACTCAAACAGTAGCGACGAAGGACAAAGATGAGTAGTACCATGTGAAGGTTGAGCATTTTCAGCAACACTCTGTATTCTTGATGTTTGTGGTACTCGTTCATGTCTATTATTGGCGTCGGGGATCTAATAAATATTAACATGTTAGATAACAATACTTTTATATGATTAGAAGTTCATTAAAAATATCTAAAGTTTATGTAATGGAGTTACCTGTTCACCTAAGGTGTCATTGCTACTTTGAGGCATAGATGCATTAGGAGCATAATTGCGCATTAATTGTCTCATTTGGAGTAATTCTTATTGCATGTCCTCCTAATTTTGTTTCATCATATTCATTTCTTCATTTTGTTTCTCCTTTAACTCTATTATCTGTTGTTCTAACCTTTGTATAACCTCATTAGAAGAATCATCTGCAACAATATTTTTTAAGGAAGACCTACTACCCCATAGAACAAAGGAAGTTGGACTAAGTCCTAAACCACGAACATACACACTTTTTTTATTTTCCAACACCTGGAGAATACACATCGCCTTCCCAAGCAACACTATGAGGAGGTTGCTCAGTAGATCTCTCACTATTGCTCATCCTTTCATTTATCATTTTCTGGCCATATAATACACAATAAATCCATTTTGGAATTCATGAATAGTAAAAAATGCAAATTGTTTGAAGGAGTCATCAAACCAAAAAAATAAAGGAAAGAATAAATTTTACGATTGTCTTGGCAACATCATCATCCAGTGGCCTACCATCATTATATTTTTTATGAGTTAATATGAAAATTTCTACTCGTGTAGGCTCTATCCCGTTTACAGCCTAATACAATAAAAATGATATCATATATGCATGACAAAAAAAGTTTAAAATATTATAGTTTATAATTTTCACTGGTTTACCTGCTCATTTATCAAGGTGGCAATACTTTTGGATCCTCCTGTGTGAGGCCTCGTTTGTTTGGCCCTATTATTTCTATTTGCTTGGGTACATCTCTGTCAGTGAAACATTAAAACAATATCTTATAATTTATAAATATAAATTGAGCATAACAACACTCAAAACGCTATGAAAATGAGCTAGGAGAATTTTGAAGGTTGATACCTTAGCTTTATCAGAAAGCCAATAAGAGACAAGACCACTCCATTGATCCCTCGGTATGCGACTTGGTCTATTTTTTAGCAAAGCATCTTTAGTCTTATATTTTCGCACATATTCACCTTTTAATTCGCACTTGTAATCTTTTCATTTCTTTCCTAGTGTCTTTAAGATCCACGCTTCTCCACGTTTTGGGATAGAGAACTTCTTCTAAAATAAAAGCCAATATTTAGAAGATAATATCGTGTATAAAAGAAAGAGCATGTTCACAAAATAATAATAATAATAATAATAATAATAATAATAATAATAATAATAATAATAATAATAATAATAATAATAATAATAATAATAATAACAACAACAACAACTACTCTATACCCTCACAAAATCCACCAATTTTTTCTTTTTCTCGTTGTCAAAATTTCTCCAATCATCTACATGTAGAGGTGTTAGTTCTGGAGTTCTGGCAATAATTCCTAGAAAGATAGGAAGCTTTCGACCCTCTTTCCCAATAGCTTGGTTACGATTATTAAACGACACGTCAATTGTCTTCCCCGGCGGAAGTTTCAAAATATCATTCAGTAAAGTAGGCCTACGAACCTTTTTTGCTTCTGAATTACCTATAATGAAAAAGATCTGAATCATCTGATGACATCAAGAATCCTAACTCCAGATACTTTAATATTACGCTACTGAAAGAGACTAGCAAAGAAGGAATATTACTATAAATGTCACAACAATGTCAATGAATTACAACAAAGTGCTCATATTGGAACTAAAGTTAAGGCCGTAGGAAATCAAGAATCATCACATGAAAGGAAGCAAGCAACTGATCCTAATGACAAAGTTTTGTTAGTTTCACAATGTGTAACACAACCAAAAGATGCAGACACAATGAACTTTATGTAGATTCTCCCCTTACTGTGCGACAAAAGTACAAATAAACAACAAAAGAGTGTCCTAATAAGTTGAAAGAAGTTATCTTCAAGGTTTCTATAAGTACAAAAGCCAAGAGAAGCATATGTAACCCAAAAACTAGAACTGTTGTAGCACAACTGCATAGTTGTCTTTCTGCAGTTGTTGTACAACTGTGTAGTCGTCCCTCTACCGTTGTTGCACAACTGTGCAGTTGTCCTTCTACAGTTGATCATTAGTTTTAAGTATAAACTCACACTACTTGAAAATTCACCTATGGCTACGCATGAAAAACCGTTGCAACAGATAGATAAACCGTTGCCATAGCGGTATTGCAACGGTTCAACGCCCGTTCCACAAGCTCGCGTGCCTATAGAGCTTAAGGAACGGTTCAGATAACCGTTGCTATAGTGTAGTCTATCGCAACGGTTTTCCCTCTTCCTGTTGGAACGGTTATTCTTATCAACTACAACGGTTGAATTCCGTTATCATAACGTTTAATGCAACGGTAAATAACCGTTACTATATCTATTAATCCTTTATGGCTATTATAGAAATGGCAATGACTTCTTTAAGATATTGCAACAGTTGAACTACCTATTGCAACGGTTTTTAGATTATTTTAGAACGATTTGCAGGTCCTATGGCAATGGTTCTGTTAGCTATTGTAACAGTTTAATTGAATTGAAAATATTGCCTTTGTTGTAAATAAAGATTTACATATATATACAATAAACTATAAAACACTAAAAATTATATAAATAACAAAATAAAACTATTCATAATCCAAATTGTCCAACAAGCTAATAAATCCATAGAAGTGATGAAATGTTACTAAGTACATACATTTGATATTTCAAGAGTTAAAAGTTTTAAAATGTTGATAACAAACATTCCTAGAAACCGCCACATGCATCTACAACAATTCAAAATTCTCTTAAGTAAGATCTAGATCTTCATCACTGCCTCCGTCTTCCATTTCTTCATCTACTCCACCTACAAAAGAGTATAAATAAAGTCATTATTCCTTCAAGAGAATCCGATCTAAAAATTCTGTTAGTCCAAAAAACCAAGGGTAAAAAGGAAGTATAAAATTCAGCATTAAACCCCAAAATTGGATGGCAAAAGTTTATCCCATAATATACGGACAAAGATATTCAGGAGATAAGGCATCAACAACACATAAAAAGATACTCCCAAGAATGCAAAATTTCAAAAAACAGTTCACAAGAAGTACAAAAAGATACATGTCTGCCACACGCCAATTAATAAGGCAAATAACTAAATCAACTTAACAAGTAATTTAGAACTCAACTTAACAGATTAGTGAAGAGGAAAGATAGTAAAGATTACATGTTTCATTAGGAAAGAACCAAGAATATCCTAGAGACATATTCAGAACCCATCTCAGACGATAATGGAAACCACCATTAGAGAGAAGAAACCAAGAAGTCAGGAACTGCAAATTGAAACAATGAGGAGAGGAAAAATGATGCAGCAAAAGAAGAATGTCGGGGAGACTCGAAAGAGACGCCTCTCCACAATCTAAAACACTAGATGTAAAGAAAAGACGATGGGTGAGTAAGCTACACTATGCCTCGGTAATTGCCCATATAAAAGGCAACACAACCCAAATAATGCATCATACATGAGTGGAATCAAATAGCTTAATAGATAGGTTGCGAAGGCATGTGCCAAGTGCTGTAGAAAGGACAAACAAGAATAGGAGAGAGGAAAACTCTTGGGAGCAATAAATAAGCAACTAAGCCCAAAGTTCACAAGTGATAATTAACGGTAGAACACCACATAACAAAGACAATAAATCAGCAACTACGCTACCAAGTTCAAAATGTGGTTCATCAAGGCAGAACACCACACAATAATGCCACTGAAATTTTTTAAATGAATTCATGAACTCTCAAATGAATGACACACACACAACTCAATCCCAAACTTCCCAACTAGTACACTACATAACTAAGAAATGCAGTTGTCAAAAAGTTCAAAGGACAGCCCAACGGAATATCGCAGATCAGTTAATCTTTTTTCCCTAATGGAAAAAGATACTGACTGCAGATGGCAGCTACAAGAGAAGATGTACCAAAGATTACTCTCATTCGTGGAGGTTTAGTACTCTTGTACTTGACTAATTAGCTGGGAAGTCACCTTTAGATCTATCTAGCAGCTACGTCATTCCTACAGGCAATGTATCAACTCCAGAGGATGGCAAGATTGGTAACTGAGCAGCCCTGTACCGGATGCTGCAGCTACGTAATTCCTACAGGCAATGTACCATCTCCAGATCTGATTCAAGCAGCTCTTTAAAGAGCCAATGGACAATTTTCTGAGGCAGAAATGGAAATATACATATAGCGTCGGCTCATACACAACGGTCATTTTAAAATAGACATCACTGGTAATCAGTAAATCGACGCATTTTCACAAACACATAATATGCACATAAACAGAAATCATTAAATCAAATTGATAATTGAGATTGCGGCGACTGCTGTTGAAGAGATGCGGTAGAAGAGGGGACAATGACGAAACAATTTTCAAGAATGGGGGACTTTAGAGTGTCCCAGTAGAGTATTGCCAAGGAATATAACTCGATTTTCCATGGAAGTTCTGCTTAGATAACTAATTATGTTTGATATTTGAACCTAAATCATGGCATAGACTTTAGAGTGTACCAATCTCAAACGCCATTAAAAGGTACTTCAGAGGACAAGAAGTATGCAAAGCAGAAACAGTTAAATCACCCAAGAAGTATGCAAAGCAGAAACAGTTAGAATATCCGAAGTATCAGTCATTTCCTTCTTTTTTCCCTAGTCACATGAAAACTGGTATAAGAATCTTTTCATACAAAGTTAGAAAGTTCATACTTTAAGAAAAATAAAAGAAAACATCAAACCTCGATGATTAGAGCAAAACTTATTTTGCCAGCAGTGTGTGGATGCTTCAACTTTTTTCGCTTCTCGATATTGGTCTCAGACGTTTTCTGCAAATAAACAAGCAATTGGTGTCAGCTATTGTTTCTGGAAAGCGCTAAAAAGCACATTTTTTTAATAGATTTTAATATCTCTGAAATATTGATTCATGGTTTATATTGGACAACTAATCATCCAATTGTTCAAGAAGTTTGTGGTGTTTCCATTCTCTTTAGGGTATAATCCGAGGTCCACATACGTATAATCCAAATGAATTTAAGCTTTATCACTGTAATTAACACATTCTTATGTAACTTTACCAATCACAATATAAATATTTTAATAAAATCTAAGCAAAAACTTTCAGTAGACATTCATAGTGAATAAAATCAATGCAGAAACTTTCAGTAGACATTCATAGTGAATAAAATCAATGCAGAAACTTTCAGTAGACATTCAGTAGCGCAAAATCATACGAAATCCAAATCAGTAGTTCTATATGCTCTCACTTTTTATAAAAGAAGCGTCTTTCTGGTTCAACCTCCATCAAACAGATGCTATAGTTGCACAGAATAAATTATCATGCTTAATTAGCAATAGTGAACATGGGCCTTAATTCACTTTTTATAAAAGAAGCATATTTATTAATCTATAGTCTAAAGATTATAGCCGACTGCCAGCGATATTTGAGTGTCAGCTTGAATTTTTCCTTCTAATTCTTTAAAGTGAGATTCCGGAACAAAGTTGGCAAAAGTTGGATGCAATTACCTTGGCGGGATCGGACTTTCAATATTCAAGAAGATCTTTAAAGTGAGACACCGGAACATCTATAGGCCTATTCTCCATTCGAAGGTCGTCATTCTCATATGCTTCAAAGTGCTTTTTCTTCAACTGACTTTTATACTTTCTCCAAGCAGTACAAATTGAATCAAAAATCCATTGCTTCGCCTCTTCAGGAATGTCATATTTTTCCTACAAATTTAGTGGAATTAGGTTAGTATAAGAAAATGTGAAATATCATCCACACTTATTGAACATTAGGAACTTCAAACCTTGACATATTTCCAAATATCATTTTTTGTATCTAGTTTCCTCCAATCAAATACATTAAGAGGACAAAAGGTCTCACTCCTTCCCAATGTGCCGAGGAAGCTACCCAACTCTTTTACAACTTCATCAGTAGGATCAATGGGTTGATCCTCTAACACATATTTAGGGGATAGTAATCATTCGTCTAAAACCCACTTTAAGTATAAGACCAGACCACAAGTTTATACTCCAAATTCTTCTAAAACTAGAGACTGTAAACCCTAAAGGTCCTCAATTGTAATATGTTTCTTAAGGTAGGAAGGAAGAGCAAGTTGCTTTGTGTAGAATTCAGCAGTATTAGTAAGAAATGTCATAACTTTAACTTGATAAACCAAAATTGACACAGACAAACACCATCAAATTATGGTAATAGGTAATGGGGTGTTTCCCCAATAAGCTTCAGACCATCAATATAAATACACATTAGATTCATAAAAAAGATGGGGGAAGAACAATTGAAACAAAAATACTGCAGCAAAACAAACACAAAATAACAAGAGTTACCAGTTGAAATCTCAAAAAAGTGAAAATGGAGAAAACCCAGAAGACTGAAGAGAGCTTAGGGACAGTTGATGTGGAAAACTTTCTTTTTTCTTTCTCCTGTAATAATAAATAAATTAATTAGCGGGATTTTTTGCTTCTTTTTTCTTTCTCCTCTAATAATAAATAAATTAATTAGCGGGATTTTCCGCTTTTTTTTTTTTTTTTTTTTTTTTTTTTTTTTTTTCTTTTTCTCTTTAACAAGTCAAATTTGTTTGGGGAGACAACAATAGTTTCAGCAGATGCAGGGCTGAACAGATACATTTTGCAAAATGAAGGCAGATTGTTTGAGTGTAGTTACCCGAGAAGCATAGGTGGAAGCTTACAGAACCATCAAACAAATACAAAACCAAAATCCCACGTGAAGGAAGCTTACAGAAACACAGAAATTTAAACAAAAACACAAGAAACCAACCCACGAGCAACCAATCCAGAAATTTAAACAAAAACACAAAAAACCAACACAGAAATTTAAACAAAAACACAAAAAACCAACACAGAAATTTAAACAAAAACAAATTAAAAAAGCTGCTAAAAATTAAGCCTTCAACCATGAGCAAATACTCAAGTTGAGACCCACTTTCAAGATTGATATACTCAATTGATTAATTCATGAATAAGGCCCAAAATCAATACCCACACGAGTTAACAAACTTTTGCAATAAGAGTATTGTGTACGGTCAAAACCGATTTGAGTCAGTCGTACGGACGGGTCAAGACGATAATATTTCGATCAAAGAATATCTGCATGACAAGCTCGGTCAAGGTCTGAAGTAAGGGCGGCGAGCTTCGAGCTCTAAGACCGATCAATGATAAGCCCGATATCATTATCGAGCTCATATCCAAATCGAATTACGAGGCAAAGCGGGGATTATCGAAGATGCATGGACCGACCAACACTCACCCCGAATACAGAGACCCCAAGCCAGAATCGAGCTCGGACCAAGGCTGAGGGCTCGATCCAGCACCGAGCTCGAGTCAGTATCGAGCTCGCGGACTAGGGCCGTTGTAACTGCACTATGGGAGAGAATCTTGGCGGAAATCGAGGAAGAGACAATACATCATGGGCTCTCCACTACGTATTTTTCTATTGTATATAAAGTAGGATCTCTCTACTATAAGAGGGATATGGATTGTAAGCAAACGGCGGAATAAAAAAAAAGATCGCTTCTCACATTGAAAGATATCTCCTTGTGCTTGTTTTATTTTAACTTATTCGTTCTTTTTGCTCACTTTTCTCATTCTCATAGTCAAGAATATACATATTTCTATTTCTCTACATAATTTATATCAAATTGTATCGCATATCCTTAGAACCATACACAAATCTAACGTTATCCAATTTTTCGGGTAAACAGTTTGGCGCCCACCGTGGAGCTAAGGGTAACAGTGGTTGTTTGATACAAATCTGCAATACACACCAGTTTACAACTTCAAATCAACAATGGCAAACCCTCGATTGATGGCTTTACCTATCGACCACGAAGCCGGCCTTCAAGATGAAACCAACAACTTGACACCCAGGGCCGGAAGGCGAATTAACGATGTCACCGAAGCTCCAGTCGAAGTACCGCTAGATGTCAATTCACAAGTGGCTCTTGAGGCGAACCAACGTTCCGAACCGGAAAAAAGCATTCAGGGCGGTACTCGATCCGTAGCTCGAGACACCCATAATGTGGAGGAGATCAGAGTCAGTTTACGGATGATCTTCGAGATGTTACAAGCCCAGCAAATAGCGATAGCTTAGTTGCAGATCCAAACTCAGGTACAAAGCAGGTCGGAGCCCAATCCACTTCGAGAAATTACCCACAGAACGGAACTAGCCGTAGTAAAATCAAATTAGCAAGAATCGGGGACTACTCCCGAAATTACTAAATTGCTCGAGGAACTCACAAAACGAGTCGAAGCCAACAATAAAAAAGTAGAAACATATAATTCTAGGGTCAGTCGACCAGATCCCGGAAGCTCCACCAATGATAAAAGGGCTAGATTGGAAAAAATTCATTCAAAAGCCTTTTCCCTCGAGTGCAGCCCCAAAACCAATCCCCAAAAAATTTCGTATGCCCGAAATACCCAAATATAACGGAACGACCGACCCCAACGAGCACGTCACTTCTTACACGTGTGCCATCAAGGGCAATGATTTTGAAGATGATGAGATCGAATCTGTATTATTAAAAATATTCGGTGAAACCCTATCAAAAGGGGCAATGATATGGTATCATAATTTACCATCTAACTCCATTGATTCATTTGCTATGCTTTCAAATTGCTTCGTAAAAGCAGATGCCGAAGCCATAAAAGTCGAAACCAGAAAATCAGACCTGTTCAAGGTAATACAAAAGGATAACGAGATGCTAAGGGAGTTCGTAGCTCATTTTCAAATGGAACGAATGGATCTGCCACCAGTCACAGACGATTGGGCTGTTCAAGCTTTCACTCAAGGTCTAAATTAGCGGAGCTCGATGGCTTCACGGCGGCTGAAGCAAAATCTGATCGAGTACCCAGCTATTACTTGGACCGATGTGCACAATCGATATCAATCCAAAATAAGCATCGAAGATGACCAGTTGATTTCTAAGTCCGTTACGAAAAAGCAAAAGTCGACCAGCGATAGATACCAACCATATAGTCCGTTACTACTGCTGAGTATCCGAGGCCTCTTTAAAATCAACATCGTACACT